TCTACATAGCTTCAGGCTTGTTACCTACATAGGCAGATCATGTGTATCTATAACTTTAGAAAGCTTTCCTCCCTCATGAAGACTTTGAGGTTTAGACAGGCCTCACACCTGATGAAGAAGCAGCCCCAAGTCCTACTTGATGGTCAGTTTACAGCAGCTATCTTGGAGCACATTTTGATTTTTTCTCATAACACAAAGACGTAGGAGGGTTAACTCACTACATATGGCCATTTTTGTAAGTCCTGTTTACTGGGCAAAGAGCAAAATGCAAGGAATCCATCCACAAGTTACACATCAAAGACAAGACATAATACTGGAGGAAATCAAGAGCATCCCATCTGTCTGTTTAGCAGAGTTGAATAGTCAGAAAGGTAAACTATATAGGCAAAATAATCACACAAAACTAGGGGGCAGTTCCCTTTATCATCCCAAATTACCCTCCTTCTTTAATTTAGTTTTCACAGTACTGTGGTAAAGCTCTAATGGTAACTAAAAATGTTTTTCATTAGAACACAGTTAAGCACATTCAACAGCTTTATTTCCTTATGTCTAATCTTATATGACCTGTCACTAAAGACTTTTTTTAAAATTAGTGCTACAGCTGTAAAGAATGACAAATTTATATCTAGATAAAGACATGGGGGAAGAGACCCAACAAAAATCCAAACCCCTGCTCACACAGCAAAATATAGGCTGTGTGTCTGTGTGTTTACATAATTTGTATTTGTGCTATTCCCTTTACTGTTTTGATAGATTAAAACATATTGCATTAATTCAAAAATGATTTTGTGGAATCTCTCCCCTCATTAGTCATGTCCAGATTTGAAAATATATTATCCTAATTCTCAACACACCTCCGCAAATTTCCCACAGTACTGGATCATTTCAATTTGTAACACATTTAATATGGGAAACGCTTTAATTTTCTGCAACTATTGTACTCTACTGAGTTCTCCTACCTACTAACTGGTTCTTCAGTGTCTTCATTAGCAGCTCTTCTTCATTTTTTCTGTCCCTCAGAGTTTGGTTCTTAGTCTTCCTTTTTACTACATCTGTGATTTTTAAGGTAATCTCATCTGGCACCATGGCTTCAGTTACCCCCACTGTGCAATTAATTTTTCAAATTCTTCTTTGGATCCCTGAATCCTCCATCACACATTTCTGACACCCACTTTTAGATGTCCCTCTGTCCTGTTAAACTCCAGATTTTCCAAAACAAATTATTTTCCCCATTAATCCATGTTTCCAGCTCTTTTCTTGATACTGTCTACATCTTCCCCTAATTCCTAGCTCACCATTTTATCATCATCGACTTCTATCTTCCCCCCTACCTTGCTTCCACATCACTACTACCTTACCCTTCCCTTTCTCTCCATATCCCACCTCCATAAACATGTTTCACATCTTGGTCATCTCTACTTTATCATCATCTTTCTCCTATCAGCCTCTCTTTTCGCACCTTTTCCTCTTCAGTCCAACCAAAATCCTAATATTATACCATCTTCTGCTGCTGCCCAGAGCCCATCTCTCTCCTCCCCAGTACATCTTCTTTTTGTGATACCCACAACTTGTTGAAAAAATCCTCTACTGTTAGGGCATAAAGAATCTCCCAATCCCTCACCCTATCTTTCAAGCTTACTTCTTCTAAGAATTCTTTGTAATATTCTTAACTGAAATTGTTGCCCAATGCTGTCTTTGTTTGTTTGTCCTTCTAAAGGTCCGTAAAGCACCATGTGCCTTCCTGGTACTAGCTGAGCAAATAATAAGGAATAATAGTATAACTGATTTTTGTAGTTTTGTAGTTGGTACTTTCTTGTAGTTTAAATTTGTTTTATACCTAGAGACCAAAGTTTTTCTGCCATATTCCAATAATTTATGGTATGCTTCACAATTTTATTTTTTCTTCTTAGGTTTACCTGTAGTTTAACATTCAAAGTATGGTTGTGGCACAGAATACCTCAACAAGCTTGTATTAAAAATGCCCTTTAAAATTCCAAAGCTTTGAACTAAAGCAAATATCTCAAGAAGTTTTCATGGAAAGTTCATCGCAGTTGGTTCAATTCAGCTACACTTAGATGCACCTTTTCAAATAATAGAAAAAAAAGTGTAAAGGGGTCAGACCCAATCAATACAGTTGTTCAAACAGAATTCCAGTCACTGTGATGTGTGTACATTTTGTGCTTTTCCTTTGTACTGTTCCACTATGAAGAAAGGTTGCTTTTGCTAGCAGAGCAATAAAAGTCTTAGCCTTTTGAATACAGCCAACTAACCAATGGGAATGTTTACCAGGTATGGAAAAATAAAGCAATTTTTCATGTCTTTCCTGTGCATCTCTCTTTGTTCTTTTTATAACTACGCAATCCACACATATACTACACAAGCAAATCCTTTAAGATACCCAAAGACAGACATAAATCAGAAACGTGGAGCCTCAGAACATACCTCATAAGTTGGAGACTAAGTAATTCTGGTTCTTCTCTCACAGAAAGGCAGAATTAACTGCGATGACACATGGTGGATGGAGTTTTTTGGGTTTTTTTGCATTTGTTTTCATTTTTGAGACATAGAAATCAATTAAGTAAATAGCAAGGGAGTTAAAAATGAGGCTGTAAGCAATACCTAAAAAGATGCCATTAGCCTATACTGTGTATAGATTCACAATGACAATCCTTGAGCAGATTTCAGCTATTTAAATCAACTTTACTTAGGCTTTGTCATTTTGTTAAACAGTAAAAGCTTGGTAATATTTTTATGAATTTGCAGGTGGCAGAGCCATATTTAACAATATTCTACACATAAACCACAGTTTATAGAATAAAATCCACTATGACTGGAGAAAAAAAAACGACTATGACTGGAGAAAAAAAATAACTCTCCACTATAGTTTACGCCTTGTGGGTGTTTCTGGCTGCCCCGGATTAAATTAGCTTTTGTTTTTACCACCATTATTATTCTCCAGCTTCAGAGGGGTAGCCAAGTTAGTCTGTAACAGGAAAAACTTAAACTAACAAATAATCTGGTAGCACTTTAATGACTAATAAAACATGTAGATGGTATCATGAGCTTTCATGGGCACAGCCCACTTCTTCAGAGGACTGGAGTGTTGGATGTCCAGTCCCTAGAAGATTTGTACTTAGTGTAGTGTGGGCAATGGCAATGTCATCACCAAAATGTCCTAGCAGCCTGCCACACAAATGCAAAACTAGACTTACGTGAAATAAAAACAAACAAAAGATGTTCCTATTCAATTTAAAAAAAAGTAGACTAAAGACAGATCTGAGGATAACAAGGTTGGGGGTGTAGTGAATTTGTAATCTGTCATCAGTGCAGCCTAAAGGTAGAAAAATAAGAATCTTCAGATTAAAAATATACATTGGATTTTTACTTGCTGTAAAAGCAAAATAGATGAATTGCAAATTAGTTCCCCCAAAAGAAAAAAGATACTATTTTTCTAATATTTTTAATCAGAATGAAAAAAACTCTTTATTCCAACTGTAAAAAGCTATGTTGAGTCTGAAACTGAGTTGAGCACTATCTGATTTGAAAGATTCCATTGTGAAGTTATAGCTTTGATGCCAGTGGTAGTTGCTGTATGAATACAGATTTTGGTGAATAAATGCAAAATGAAATTGAAAAAAAGAAAACCATGATAACTTCTCTCCACCCAAAATGGTCACTAGATAACTCATTAGCATAACTATATTTAAATAAGGGCTTTGAAAAAAGGGTCAAACTTGGTGATTTTTTTGTAATATGGGATTATTTATAGACATCTAAATTGCTTGAGTTATCCCAGAACAAAGATTTTTTAATGTCAATTTATTATTTCCAAACATTAATGGTATGTGTGTTAAGGGTGAAATCCTTGCCTCTCTTATGTAGCTCAAGCAGGTTGTGTGAGAATGATGTACACTGCAGGGGAGGAAAATATGAACCCATATCTCACAACTTATAGATCATATGCACAGCTCCTCTGCATCTGCTATGACAACTAGCTACTTCTCTTCCCCTTCTCCTACCCTGCAAACACCCACCCTCAAAAGAGAAGTGGAATTTTTGGTCAATGGGGTTGAAGTTGTTCAGGAACCCACTGCTGTTTCCCTCTACACAGGATAGCCCACACTCATCTCCCGTCTGCACCAACAAAGCTTTTGAGAAACAATGTACTGTTTTACAGAACCATGACACATCACAAATCACTATGGCTGAATTCCTTTACATTTCTGGCCATGCATGTCCCCACAAACGGGACAAGGATTTCATAAGCAGACCCTTTCATAAGGATTTCTCCTCTTCATGTATCTGAAGGTCAAACAGTCATTTAAACTCTCTGACGTTCACATTGTTAATACTGAACCACAGAAATATCTAGATTTTTTTTTAAAGTTGTTTACTGTTTGTTCCCTGTGTTTCATTGTATTAAGTAGTTCAAGAAGAAAGTCAAGAACTAAAGTCTTCCACCAGTAGACTGTATCAAACCCATGTAACTTGACGGCACTGTCATGGTACAAATTGACTCTCACCTGCTATTACAGAATTCTTAAATTCTAGTTGCTTTTCAGGCATTATTGGCTAATATATGTCCATGCAATGCAGAAGTGACTGCCTGATGTTTGCAAGATTAGAGATGTGGAATGGCAGAGTTTTTGCACACACTATAGAATAAAATTAATTTAATATTATGCCCAAGTGTCAAGAAACTGGAAATTGAGAAAATTATAAGCTAAACTAATAAAGAATCCCGACTGAGGAATACAAGTACTCAAGTGCTTGAATAGGAATGGACTTAGGTAGGAAGGCTCTTAAATACATGCTTAAGTTAAGCACTAGATACACAGGAGGCCTGATTCAATCCTACTGAAGTAAATGGAAAAACTCCCATGGACAGCAATGGGCTTTGGGACAATGAGGAAAAGCAAAATGTAGTAACTAAATGGGATTTTAAAAACAATGCTGAAAATTATGAAAACAGATGACAAGACAAAAGCGGTAGAAATCTTATGTTAATATTTTAATCTGTACATATACCATTTCCCCCCAAACTATTACATTTTATTTAAATTAACATTTTCTTGCAAAATATTCATTTAATTTCTTTTCAAACATTTTTATAAAGGCAAAAATAAAACAAATTTATTTTGGCAAATGTTACAACTTGACACTGGCAGTATTGAGTTAGTTAAAAATAGATTGCATTTTCTAAATATATATCTTAAGAATAGCTTTTGAGTTTCAGAAAAATACAATATGAATTTTTATTTTAAGAATTTTAAACAAATATTAAGCTCAATTCATTTGCTTTTTAAACCATTATTTGAATACAGTAAAGAAGCGGAAGTTAAAACTCGCAAAACACTGCAAAGTATTTGTTAATCATTCCTCTCTTAGCACTGGATTCAACTAAGATTGTGCGTTTTTTCATGCCTCACACTGAAAGAGTACATATAATTTTTTCAAATACAGAAGCAACATCAATTTAAATTCATTTTCTTCATATGTAACTGGCCAACTCTTTATCCTATACCCAAGCAAAACATCAGACTTGGGAAGTTTTGGCAAAATTAAGCACCAGTTAAATTTACATACAAAATTAGCAAGTGCCACTTTACATTATTTCTGTTGTTTCCAGGATAATGCAATAGATCACATATTGCTTTTAATTAAAACAATTACAGAGAAAAAACTCTATATATCCTAATAAAATCACACATTCTCTTAATATTTTATTGCTTACATCACATATTTTAATTACAATTTCTTTTACTTCCCAGTCATTTTAATTTAACAATTTTTTTAGCTTCTTGTTACTGATGGGGACAGTGCTATTGTCAATGCTAACACACTGGATACTGTATTTGAAAAATAATTACATGGAATTTAAAAATGTACAGAAGTTAGTAGCTGAGTGCCATAATTTCATTCTTTATGTGCAAACATGATGGTTACTAATATTAAGAATTACAAGCTAAGAGTCCTTTGCTATTTCTTATTTAAAGGGCATACAAGAGTGATCAATTTTTAAAAAATCTCAGTAAGTTTCTCACTTGATTTAGATTTATCCAAATGCCACGATGAGCTTCTAAGATTATTTAATTCACATTTTGTCAAGAGGCTATACAATGCATTTGAACTTGAGGGTGAAGCAATATTTTGTAAAGTCTGTGAAAGCAGCTTTTTAAAATGAACTCAGCCCTTGCTTAAAAAAATCTAATATATTGTTTCTAAAAATACTTCAGTAATTTACAGAGTATATTAAAAGTGCCATGTATTCATATAAAAAGTGTGAACTAAAACAATACCAAATTAAAATGATTTATAATTTGTTTTTCATAGAAAATCCCTCTATTATTGTCTGAATTTTGAAAAAATTGTGATCAGCTGATGAGTATCTTCTGTGTAGCTGGTGCAATGAAGACATGCTTTCTTCCATGTTCTGGTGTCACACAGTTGTTGGTTTGATTCTTATGTCAATGCTCAGTTACTGCTTTGGCTGGTATGAATTAAAACAAAATGCAGTTAAATATGGTAGCGTATGCTGATGCCGACCAATATACATTTAAAAAAAAGTTGTCTACTGCAGCTCTCAGTAAGATAGGGTGCATAATTTATAGATAATTAAAACAGTACAAACAATTGCTTGATGCCCTGAAATTCTTGGAAAATATCCACTGATCTAGAAGAATCATTGGGTCCCTAATGTAATGGCTAAAATGACTAGATTCTTTCCTTAACTGTGTCCCTTAAAGAGAATATAAACTTTGGGTGTGAGTTTTTGTAGTAGTTTCCTAGTACAAGTTCACTGTTGGTATCTCGGGACAATGCTTTTATTTTTGCAAAAGTTCAATGCCAGATATGGATACTCATGGAAAAGCCCCTCACTCCACGTATAGTCCGGACTGATTTTAAATGGGATTACTAGAAGAATTAGGTGCCACTCTGTCTGACCAAGGATGGTGGAATCAGCCTTCCAAATAAGAAAGGGGACTAGGCAGACATTAGTCCTCTTCCAACAGATTTTCGTGCTGTTTTCAGTGATATCAGAATAAATTTACAGCGGTCAATTGATCATTTGTGATATAGTCACCTTTTATGACCTTAAGGTCCAATATGGAAGCCACTCTGAATGGCAGTCCTAACCTAAATGGATGCATGCACATTACTGGGCCTTTCTAGAGCATTTCTAAGTATGGAGATTTCTTAACTCTAAGAAGTGTTGATCCTAAAAGTACTCCAAAAACAAAGCCATGGTAGCCAGAGACTAATTCTTTTTCAGGTGCTTCAAGGGGGTAGCCGAGTTAGTCTTTACAGGATGTTCAGTCACACTTACTACTAAACTGATTTCATCTGATTTCATACAATCATATGAGAGAAAACTAACCCATCTGGAAACACAACGACAAGAAGGAATTAATAGTAAATTCTGGAGGCACAGCGGGTGTGAAATCGGGACATGGTAATGATAAATTTAACTATTAGTAAGTACCTATTTCCCATTTTCAATACAAAGAATAATACAAATACCATTGAAATGAGCAGAAAATGTTCTTTTTTAATGGTGGTGAAATAAAAGTTTTTTAAAAAAATGGAGCCCACTACACTAACAGCTAAAAACTAACCTAAATGAGGGGCAAACATCTTTCCATTAGTATAACAACATAACCGAAAAACATTGAATGCATGGGACCAAACTACTGTAATTATACAGGGTCAGACTGTCTCAAACTAATCTCTATTTGTAAGTGCTGCAAAAATGCACCTGTGTTTGTCCCCACAACGTTTCATGCAGACCCAAGACTGCCTGTGTAAAATATTTCCATTTTGGCAGATACGGTGTCCAAGAGAGGCATATGCCACTTTGCAGGCAAAAACACATGCACATTTTCAATACTGGCAATTGTTGCTGAATATGTGCCCCCAACTTTGCCAATAGCATTGATATTTCGGAGGAGAGGGAGTTGCCTCATTAAGAAGATCAAAATAACCTTTACTTATTTTTAATGTTTGGCAATTATCTTAAAGGCTCCTTCTAACAAATGTGTTAGTTCATAAGTAGCAATATTTACTGTCTGAGCGCAGAATCTTCTTATCACTGAAAATTGCACACATGCATTAATTTGATATATTTTACATGACTGTAGTAAAAAGTGTTAGTTTTTGTCCCAGTTAAACCAAAGATGTAATGAGAATTAGACATGCCAAGAGCAGTTAGTTCTTACTTTTAAGGTGTTTAGACAAATGTGTAGTGAAATCCATTGCTTAAGGGGGAGTTAGGTGGCTGTGGTACAGAAGGTGAGGGTGCTTTAGATGGGTAGGTCAACTGGTGAGCTAGAAGGGATCACACACAGGAATTAGGCAGCATAATTACACATACATATTACAACAGAGCCACCGTAACTGTCTAACAACTAAACAAACAGGAAACACTGCATCAGATTAGTAATGCAATGGGGTGTTAAAATTATTTTAGTCACATGGAAAACCCTATTTAAATAACATCTCCGTCTGCTGTTTCTGTATTGTTCAGTCACATTAAAAGCAGAAATGGTTTATTTCCACAACACAAACAAAATAAGGAAAACCCATATTAATGCGAAGCTCATTGGAACAATATGGCAAAGAACACTGATTTTCACCCATCAAACTCCGTACACAAAATCTGAAATCCCAGGATAGCACTGATACTCGACCTGTTAGTCCAGTTTCATGATCTGATTGAAGTTACACTGACATAAATGGGCAGAAAGCAAGAAGAGGTACAGCAAATAGGTGAAAAAAAAACCTCCCACCACTTTACAGCAAAATTAATGTAGTGTAAATGATATAAGAAATCAAAAGCCTTTTTAAGGCCTCAGTTTGGGGCATCCTCTGAGTATAATGTATGTTCATTACGAAAATATA